TTGTTCATGTGTTTGACAGAAAGTCAATGATCCAGTATTTAAAAATAAGTAAGCTTTGCTAAATTCAATTAATTTCCAATAAGATCAGACTTTATTTTAAACTTGGATATTTAATCAACTCTTTATGCATTTAAAATGCTTTTTTATTTCAAAAAGGCTGGACATGTTATGAATGTTAAAGATCATTGCCTTATACACTGTGGCATCAAATTAACTTAACTGGTGACCAAAGATCTGAACATGGAACAAATGCTATTCATAGCCTTGACAAGCCCATGAGCTATAAATGACTAGTGAACCAATACAATCCAACTATTACCTTCAGTATAATACTGCAGAGCCAGAACATAAATAAAATGCAAAATAGTACCATATAGAGGGTGCATTACCTGTGTAACAAGAGGTTCCAGTAACCTTTCAACTGCCAGAGTTCTTATCTCCAAGCTCTTTGGATCCCATTTGAAGTTAACATTTCCTGCATTAATGGCAGTCATTTCTGGGGAAAGAAAAACATTATGTAATTTTATCCTTATTACTATTTTCCATGCAACATAACCTATGCCCATTTACTCAGAAGATGCACTGCCTTCAAAGGGACTTACCCCCAAATAAGTGTGCTTATTCCAAAATAAGTGAGCACAATGACAGAACCTTCTATTCATTGATCTTTTGCAGGCAGGTCAATGAAACCTAGATCATAAAACTCCACAAGCAAAGAGCTGTACTTTGAAAGGGATAGTTCTAGAGAACAGATGCAACTTAACCCACATTACACAGGGCATGCATATGTTCAAACATATTCATAATCTTTATTCAAACTATCCTGCAGGGAAAAAACAACAACACCCAACTTTATACTGGAAGAGCAAGATGAAACACTTCATGAGGAAAGGAGCACAGAAGGAGTTGCTCTCCCAATTCAACAAGGTGCAGACTGAGTTTCCAGGGTGGCCCAGATCCACAGTGCTTTGAAATGGACATGCAGCTGTTTTAGAGCTTTTATGCCTAGCACATTGCAAAAATATTGTTTCATAATACTTCCTTGAAGAGAAAGTATCTTCCAAAACTTTCAGGAACAGTCTCTCAAAAGCCCTTGCCCCTTCTTTTCACTGTAGAACCAAACACAACCAATGAAGTCACTTCCTCACAACCAAGACTCAAAACACACTGCAGAAATAATCCAGTTTGAGATTGCTTTAATTGCCCTGGCTCAGTGCTAGGGAACCTTGGGAATGTGAAGTTGAAGGCTTTCACAGATGGCATCCATAGTTTGTGGGTTTTTCGGGCTATGTGGGCATGTTCTGAAAGCACAGCCACATCGCCTGAAAACCCCAGAAAAATCCTGGGAATTGTAGTTTATTATGGCACCAGAGCTCTCAAACAGAGGTGGCTAAATGTCTCACAATCTACAGTTCCCAGACTTCCCTAGCATTGAGCCAACAAAGTTAAAGTGGTCTCAGACTGGGTTATTTCTGCAGTGTGTTATGGACTTACATCTTGCTTACTTATGGCTGTTCACCACAGATCTGCTGCTACTGCAGCACTCCCCAGCTCATAAAACTGCTGGAAATATGTTACTAAAGATGTTGCTTGTTAGTTAAATACAGTTCCTCAGGTGTCTACTTACCCTTCAATACTCCCTTGCCTTTTTACTTCCCTACTTGTGTCAACATGGTGACCTCTCAATCCTGTTCTTTAAAGACCTTTGCATTAATCTTATCACTTCTTTTGCTTCAGCCCCTCTTTTCCATAGCTGCCTGCTGTCCTCCTTTAATCCTTCCTTGCATTTTCCAGGCACACAGCCACCTTGCTTCTGGTTTTCTTATCATATTGTTTCCAGTAGTGACCAAATAGTAACCATCATTTGCAGAAATGTGTATAGGAGAAACTGCATCAGCAACCCCAAATATGCTTTGGAGATTTCTCAACATATGTCTAGTGTATCAGCCCAAGAGGAACACAACGGCTGCTGAACAGGAATAGCTATCCAGTGATATCATCATTCCACTCAAAAGCCTCAAACTTTTGTTATTCTGTGCCATTCATTTCAGTCCCAGTGAGTACAGCAAAACAAACTCAGATACTGATGAATACAGCAATGCATCAGTTTTGGCAGGAGGCCTAGATGACAATTAAATGACATTAATGGAAGTACTGTACTTGTTTAGCAGACTGCATACCAGACATTAATCATCCTATCTAGAGAACTTTGATTACACAATATCACATACAAAGCAGAGCACGCAACAAATAATGAAAGAAAGTATGGCAACACATTCTCTTTAACACTGTTTATTGCAGGGGTAGGCAACCTAAGGCCCGGGGGCCGGATGCGGACCTCCGAGGCCTTTGGACCGGCCCCAGGCCGATCTTGCCAATGCTGCTGCCGCCACCCAGCATGATTATTGATTATTGTTGTTATTACTTGTTCTTGGGGTTTTCTTGGCAAAATCTCCACAGGGGGTTTGCTATGACTTTTCTGGAGCTGAGAGAGTGTGCATGCATATTTTTTATTTTATTATTTATTTATTTATTTATTTATATCTTTTTATTTTTGGTGCTTCGGCCCCCCATTTGTCTGAGGGACAGCAACCCGGCCCCTGGCTCAAAAAGGTTGCCTACCCCTGGTTTACTGAGTACTACACAGGAAACCAAGGGCACTGGATGGGGTGGGAAGGTAAATGATTTCACAGTGAAGCAGTTGGGTAGAGTGGAGGAGAAAAGAGAGAGGAGTTATTCCTAAAAGAAAGCATATAGGCAAGTACCCCATATATTACACTGTGTAGGGATACCCATCTGTATCATCACTTTAGTTCTCCATTCCTCTTTTCACAAAGTGAGAAAATAAAGGATTGCATTTGTGAGGGTGGAGGGATGACAAGTGGCCCAAGTATACTAACAATAACGATGGCTATACTAATATTTGCAGATGCAATCCTAAGCATGCATCAGAGACAAATATTAAGTGAATCCAGTGGGATTGATTTACAAGTTAATGCTGTGCTTAGGATCAGAGTGAGACGCTCACTGTTTGGGTTCTCTTGACACAGCCTGGAAATCTACTGAATGCTCTAACTGTCAGATTGCTCTGCTTACAGTGGGAGATGCTAAACAAGGAAAAGGACTTTGTAAGCAGGATCTGGCTTGTTTTACCTGTAGCAATAAAAATAATATCCAAGATTTGTTCTATGAATAGTTCTGTGACTTGCTGAGGGAGAGACAAGTCAGTGAACAGGCTCCATGGCGTATTTCATGCTATGATAAAGAAGCCATGAATTAAAGGCTAGCAAAAGACAACAAAATAGGATGGAGTTAGACACTGGAAAACTTCTCAGTATCTGATATTCCAAGAGATTTATATTCTCCAAACTCTAGAGAGAAGTTATACAAGAAATAAGGCTAAAGAAAGGATAGCCACAGTGCACAGTCACACCTCCCTCAAGAGACTTATCTCACAGTACAAAGACTCAGGGGGATCATTTTTCAGACGACTCAAGGTGAAACATCCCCCAGCACTAGTAAAGTCCCAGATCTCTGAGAATTTGACATCACTGCTTCAGAAAATAATATATAAGTTTCAAGATGTAATGAGTACATACATTTGAGACTAGCACACGGGAGTCTGAAATATCTTTCATCTTTTCAGACTATGCAAAGTTTTATGAAGTACCTCCAGGTAACAGAGAAGAATTTCCCTCTGCCCCAATCTGTCACTCTCACTCCAAATACTTTTACTTTGTGCTGGCCATCCCACAATTTAGAACTCTGAGATTAAAAAAATGTGGCACGTGCTTTTGTCATTTGAAATTCAACAACCTATTAACTGTGGATGTTTTCAATACCCCAGTGTAACATTCACATTTTGATAAACAAATGGATCAAAGAACTGTAGCACATTTATATATTGGTAACCTCAATTTTGTGAAGTTTGGTTGCTAACAGGATGAGCCAAAATAAAACTCAATTCTAGCAACACAACTTATCCTGTAAAAACGTAAGTGGACATATCCTGCAACTTGTTTATCCATATCTAATTCATCAGTTGAAATTCAGAACCTAACCAAATTCTGTCAACCCACATAACTTTTCTTTTTAAGTATGTGCATTTCTTGGGAGCTGTAGTAAGGATCTGAAATACTGATCTACATGAAAAGTAACTGAATCGGTTACTATGGGGGGTTGCAGACTGCCAGAAATAGTGCAAATTGAGTCTACTTTTAGGGTTAGGATTAGTGCTAGGGAATCATGGGAATTGTTTTTTCCCCCTGAGACATTGAGCCTTCTCTGTCAGAGAGCTGTGGTGCCACAATAAAATACAGTTCCCATGATTCCCTAACCCTAACCCTAAAAGTGGACTCAATTTGCACTATTTCTGGCAGTCTGCAACCCCCCTATAAGTTTTTTTGTATCTGAAACAGAATATGACTGGATGTGTCAATTAATGAAATTTTGAAAGGATCAAGTTATCACTGAACTAGGAGGTGCAGTCAGAGTGACCAGATGTCATAACCAGAAAGGAAGAGAAGGTACTGAAAAAGGAAGGGCATTCAAGAAAAATGTAGGACATTACAAAATAAAAGCTAAAAACATTAAGATAAATGTAAATTTATGTTTATTATTTGTGCTCAAAACAGAGGATATTTTGAAATTCCTCCTGGATAGAAGGTTGAAAATGTATGACATGTCCTGGTCACCCTGGGTGCAGTAGATTATTTTTTTACCTAACTTAGAACAAATAATTTTTGGCCCTCCATATCCATGGATTCTGCACTCATACACAGCTTGAAAATATCCAAGAAATAATTTCCAGAAAGCAAACCTTGATTTTGACATTTTACATTGTTGCTGTTGTGTGCCTTCAAATTGTTTTGGATTTATGATGACCTATGGTGAACCTATCATGGGGTTTTCTTGGCAAGATTTGTTCAGAGGAGGTTTGCCATTGCCATCCCCTGAGGCTGAGAGTGTGTAACTTGTCCAAGTTCACTAAGTGGGTTTCATGGCTGAGCAGGGAATCGAACCCTGGTCTCCAAAGTTGTAGTTCAGCACCCAAACCACTATGTCAGCCTGGTAAGTAACACCATTTTACTATGCCATTGTACATAATGGGACTTGAGCATCCATGGATTTTGATATCAACGGGTGTGGGGTGAGGTCCTGGAACCAAAGCCCAGCAGATACCAAGGGCCCATTGTAGAAGTAAATGAGCAATAAACCGTATACCAAGGGCCCACTGTAGAAGTAAATAAGCAGTAAGCCATCTTGAACTCAGGTTTGGGACCAGGGGACATTTTCCAAGTTAACACACACAAATGAGTCTGTAAATGGTTTTCATAAGTACACCAAATATGCTACTTGTTCCACCCTACAGAAAATGAATGTAACATATGCTAGTTGTAGCACAGATGCTTGTAGCCCAACAATGGAAATTATCCTGGCCATTAAAGAGAGACAGCTTGGATTTATAAAATTATGGGATATTTTGGTAACAAATATATTTAATATAACAAATATGAAATAACTAAGATGATTAATTGGCCAGGTTGATGGCCAATATAAGATAAGAGAAATGAGTCAAAGACTATTTATCCACATACATACCATAACATTTACAGTACACTAATAACTATCTAATAGGCAAATTTATGCCAATAGCTGACTCATTCCAAAAGATAGAGGGTATATATAGACAAGTAGTTTGTTAAAATCTGGTTTCATTGACAGTTCTGTGCCTTCAAGTTGTTTCTGGTTTATAGTGATCCTAAGGCAAACCACTGCAGCATAGTTGTTTGAGTCATGACTCTGGAGACCAGGGTTCGAATCCCTGCTCAGTTATGGAAACGCACTGGGTGACCTTGGGCAAATCACACTCTCTCAGTCTCAGAGGACAGCAAAGGCAAACCCCCTCTGAATGAACCTTGCCAAGAAAACCCACGTTAGCCTTAGGGTTGCCAAAAATTCAAAACAACTTGATGGCACACAACATGGCAAACCTATCACGAGTTTTCTTGTTCAGAGGGGATTTGTCTTTGGCCTCCTTCTGAGGCTGAGAGTGTGTGACTTGCCCAAGGTCACTTAATGGGTTGCCTTGGCCGAGCAGGAATTCAAACCCTGATTTTCCAGAACCTCAGACCGATGTTCAAACTGCTAGACCAGGCTGACTCTCTCACTGAATCACTTTTAAAAACAAATGAAAAAGGCAGTTTAAGAAAACCACCATCAGTTAACAAAAACA